TGTTTGAAACGCAAGTGACATAATCCAGACATTGTTTGGGGCACCATGTATACATTCGCAAGACATCCCTAGGGCATTAAACTTTAAATGCCGAATCATTCTTCGGACATCATGAACACGCATTGAAAAGGCGACCCTGGCGACGGACCCATAGCCGCGCTGTTGGGGGCACCGCGGGGCAGGCGGTTGGCACGGGGGAACGCGCCATGGGGCCGCGAAGCGCGTGAGACTTGTGAACATGGAAAGGGTCCGCCAGCATGCGGCGGGAACCAAATGTGGGCTGCTGGGGGAGGTGGGGCGCGTGGGAAATGCAGCGCATAAGGCTTTCCGTGATTCTTTCCATAGGGCCCCGAAGCGCGTGATGGGTGTGGCGATGTGCGCGCGGGGAGCGCGTGCGCACTGTGTTCCTGTGTCCTTTGGTGAAATTCCATTTGGTGCCGAGAAGCGCGGGGCGGTTGCCGCGGGAAACAGGGGGGCGAGATGCATGCGGACTGCGCCGAAGGACCTTCAGTGAAAGTCCGCATTGGGCTGCGAAGCGTGCATGGGGCGTGCCGAAATTGGTTGTGCGAGGCGCGAGCGACGGGTGCTACTGCTGGGACGTTCGACGGGCCTCCGCATAGGGCCCCGAAGTGCGTGATGGCTGTGCCGAACTGGGCCGAGTGGGGCGGGTGCGAACCCATTGGGGCCTTCGGCTGAGCTCCCTATGGGGCCAAGTACAGCGAGGAGGGCGCGTGCGCATGGGCGTGGGGTGGTGTGTGTGTGAATGTGTGTGTGTGTGTGTGTGTGTGTGTGTGTGTGTGTGTGTGTGTGTGTGTGGTGGGTGGGTGGGTGGGTGGGTGGGTGGGATGGGTGGGTGGGTGGGTGGGTGGGTGGGTGGGTGGGTGGGTGGGTGGAGGGGGGGGGGGGGGGGTCGCATGCGAACGAACGCCGCTACTGGCTACTGAGGCTTGTCGGCTGAGCTCCCAATGGGGCCACGAAGCGTTTGAGGCGCGCTCCAGCAGGGGCGACGGTGACGCGTGCACACTGCCATTGGGGCATGCGGTGCTGCCCCCCCATGAGGCCCAGAGACGCGCGAAGGGCTCGCCGGAAATATGCTGACGGGGCGCATGCGAACACATCCGATGGTGCATGCAAGGAGTTCCCTGCGGAGGCGCGAGACGTGCACGGGGCGCGCGGGGCTGCGTAAGGGGGGGGGGGGGGGCTCATGCAAACACAGCCTGAAGCTTTCGGTGGAGCCTCCTGAGGAACAACGGAACGCGTCGCGGGCGCGCCGAAATGCATGGGGGGGGGAGGGGGGAGGGGGCATGCGAACACCGCCGCTGACATCCTTCGGTGGGACCCTTATGCGGCCGCGAATCGCGCGAGGGGTGCGCCGAAATGCATGGGGTGGGCGCGTGCGAACGCCGCCACTAGGCCTTTGGTGGAGTTCCCTATTGGGCCACAAAGCGTGCGAGGGGCGTGCCGACATCGGCAGGTCGCGCGTGCCATCGGGGCCTTCGATGGAGCTCCCTATGGGGCCGCGAAACATGCGGGGCGTGCGCCGACAGCATTCGAGTGCGCATGCAAACACTGCGCCTCGGAGGCATTCGGTGGAGTTCCTTGTGGGGCCAGGAAGCGCGTGAGGTCTGTTGCAGGCTTGATAAACATGCGCACGCCCACGCCGCCAAAGAGACTTTCGGTGGAACTGTATATGGCGCCACGAAACTTCATGGGCGCGCCGAAACGTGGGTGGGTGGGGGGGGGGGGGGGGGGGGTGCTCGCGAGCGAACGCCGCCACTGAGGCTTTCAATGGAGCTCCAAATGGGGCCGCGAAGCGTGCGAGGGGCGCGCCGAAATAAATGAGGGGTGCGCGTGCGAACACAGCCACTTAGGTATTCGGTGGAGCTCCCCTATGGGGCCGCGAGACGTGCATGGGGTGTTCTGTTTTGCGTGGGTGGGGAGTGGGGGGTGCGAACGCGGCCGCTGGGGTTGTCCGTGGGGCGCGAAAAGTGCGAGTGCTTTCGGGGAATGCATGGGGGGGGGGGGGGGGGGGGACGGGGGGGGGGGAGGGGGCGTGCGAACACAGCCAGGGATATTCGGTAGCTCTCTATGGGGCAACGAGCATGTGTGAGGGTGTGCCTATACATGGTGGAGGGGGGTGGTGGGGGTGGGGGGGGGGATGGGTGGTTTGTGCGAACGCAGCTGGGGCTTTCGGTGGGGTTCCCTATGGCGCCACGAAGGGGTGTGAGTGGTGGCCGAATGCGCGTGGGTGGGTGGGTGGGGGTGGGGGGGGGGGGGGGGGGGGGGGCGCGTGCGAACGCCGCAAGTACAGCCTTCGGTTGGGCTTCATGTGGGTCCACGAAGCGTGCGTTGGCGTTCCGAAGTGCATGGGATGGGCGCATGCGAACACCGCCACTAGGGTGGGGCGCCCTATGGGGCCACGAAGCGCACGCATGCGGGACGCATGCGAATGCCGCCACTGCCTGCGGTGGTGCCTCCGATGGGGCCGCGGAACGCGCGGTGGAGCATGCCGAAATACAGGAGGTGCGGGGGTGGGGTGGGGGGTGGGGCGGGTGGGAGGGCACGCGAGCGCCGCCACTGCGGCCTTCGGTGGAGCCCCCTGTGGGGCCACGAAGCTTGCGAGGATTGCACAGACATGCCTGAGGGGGGGTGGGGGGTGCATGCGAACGCCGCCACTAAGGCCATCGGTGGAGCCCCGCGAAATGTGCGATGATATACTACGGGGGTAGGGGGGGAGGGGGGGCATGCGAACGCCGCAGCTGCGGTTTTCGGCGCCCCCCCCCCTCCCCCTGTGGGGCAACGAAATGGGGAAGGGCGTGCCGACATGCGCGGGAAGGGGGGGGGGGGGGGGGCGCGGGAGTGCTTGCGAAACGCCGCCGCCAGGCATGGGGCCCCCGATCCGAGCTCCACCGCCGGGGGCCGCGAAGGGCGCGCCGGGCGCGCCGACGTGCATGGGGGGGGGGGGGGGCGCCGCCAAAAGGGCCTTCGGCGGGGATCCATGCGGTGCCCAGAGGCGCGTGAGGGGTGCACTGGAACACACGGGGGCATGATTGTCACATCGCCCATATGCAAATCATTGGCGCTGGCGCGTCGGCCCTTGTAGAACGCTGGGTTTACATCGCATCGCCGACGCGGGCGCCGTTCGCCCTGCCAAATCGAGGGCGCGCGCACATGGGAAATTTGCGCGCGCCCAGCGCTTGAACATGCGTTCTCATATCGCGGGCCTGAAGGGTGAGTGCGCTTAATTTAACAGTTGCGCTGGCGCCGTACTTCTTCCTGCAGGAGCCAAATTCGATCCGCGCTTCGGCGTGATGGCATAGCCGCGCTGCGGCCCAGGGTCGCCTGCCCACTTCCTTCCGATCGCAGAGCGCTGCGCGATTCCCCCCCCCCCCCCCCCCCGCGATAGCCCCGTGGGCGCGGGCATGCCGCTCCGCGGGTTCGGACAGGTGCGGGCGCACATCGTTTTTTTTTTTTTTTTTTTTTTTTTTTTTTTTTTGCCAGCTGCGGGTGCTGACTGTCGCGTTACGCTGCAGAGACTCACAGCTGTGATTTTTCTCGCGACCGTGGCCCGCGCGCCATCGTGCGCCATTGAACGGGCAGGGGGCGTTGCCCTTCGGCGGGCATGGGTGCGCCGCCATCCTGCTCTTCGGCGCGCTACGCGCCCCGCGCCCCCGCCCCCCCCCCCCCCCCCTGGGCGCCCTCGCGCGCGCCCCATCCCCCCTGCGCCCTTCCCCCCCCCCCGCCCAACATGCACATAGCGAAGAGCGCGGTGCGGCCCCCGCGGATCAGCTGAGCGGGCGCTTCGCCCCATGATTGAGTTGTCGGGCGGGCGTGACCGCCTGGGCATGGCTGGTTCCCCCTTGGACCAGCGTGGGATGCACCTCCGCCCGTGCCGACAAACGGCGCTGGCACGTTGCGCCGCTGAGCGGCGCGGGCATTGTCGGCGCGTCATTGCGGCGCCGCCCGCGCGCCATCAAGTGAAAGCAGAAGTTGCACCCGTTGTCGGAGCCCTCGGGTTGCTATTCGATGGCGCGAGCTGCCGCCTCTGGCCCTTGCGGCGCCCCCTCGGGCCGCCGCGGAATGACGCGACAAGGCGCGGAGATAAACCCGAGGGGCAGCAGGGCGCAGGTCGTGCAACCCGCAGTTGCGATCGGCTGGGCTTGGGTTGCGGCGTGTGTGTGTGAGAGTGTGTGTGCGTGTGTGTGTGTGTGTGTGTGTGTGTGTGTGTGTGTGTGTGCGTGTGTGCGTGTGTGCGTGTGTGTGTGTGTGTGTGTGTGTGTGTGTGTTGTGTGTGTGTGGTGTGTGTGGTGTGTGTGTGTTGTGTGTGTGGTGTCGTGTGTGTGTGTGTGTGTAGTGTGTGTGTGTGTGTGTGCGGGGGGTGGGTGGGTGGGGGGGGGGGGCTTTCGGAGCCCCGCGGGGCGGGGGCGCGGTGGGCGGCCGCGTCGGGCTGCCCAGCGCGGCCCCGACGCGGCCCAGAGCTTGCAGAGATATATTGGTGTAAGCCCCCGATGAAGACAATTTCCAAAGTCTGCAGCTGGCTCTCCGATGTAAACATGGGGAACCCGCGGTGCTCCTAAAGGCCAGTCTCGGGTTCCCTTCCGACGCCAGACAATCGCGGGGCGCGCGCGGGCAACCGCGGGGCTGCCCAGCGCCGCGCCAACGGCGGCCCCTCTCCCCCCCCCCGCCCCCGCCATACCCCGCGCACCCACCCCCTGCGCCCTCCGCCTGCGGGGCCACGGGGTAGCATCTGACGGGGGCTGCCTTCTTCTTCCGTCGGGGGCGATGCCGGGGCGCGGTGGGCGCGCTTTCGGGCCGCCCTAGACGGGGCCGACATGTAGTCTGGGTGCCGCCCGAGACGGCCCGGCAAG